GACAAACCTAGAAACATAATCGGGGCGAACCGGGATTCGAACCCACAACCATAGGTTTCTGGCGTGCCCAAGGGCCGCAACTCTGCACAGCGAATCGCAGCGCCTTAGCCGACTGGGCCACCCGTGCCCCCCACGAACACCAGAAATGATCTTCACACATTGTATCCGTGTTGGGAATTCTGCGCGGCGAGCTAACTCTTTAGCCAGTACCACTTTGAAAGTAAATACATACCATAGCTTCCAAATGTTAACAATAGGTACAATTAGGTCTCGTTTATTTCGTTGATTATTGGGAAAAGACATATTACATATATGATACTGGGATATGTTCATCTTATTGAATAATTGGATGGTGGATTTTTGATGTCACAAAATATTTGTAATTTTCAAAATTCTTTTTTCTGAGAGCCCCAAAAGCGTATATAACCCATAATTGGTACATGTTCCACGCATACCCGTCCTTATGCGTAACTCAATACGTACCAAAAACACATGTAGTTTTTTAAAGGAATATTGGTTCTCCTCCATTCGTCTTGCTTCATCTGCACTATGAGCGTTTGTTAATAGATCTATAACCTAAAGATGTAATCACCTTTCACTCACTCACACACACACTAGCAATATAAAGTGAATGCTATCGACAACTTCACTGCTCACATGTGTTTTTCAAAGCCGCCGTTGTTTATTTTACATTAGAGTCAGAAGTATCCTGTAGATTACAAGGGCCATACAATTACCTGAATGCCATTCAAATTGTTTTTCGTCTCATGTGGGTGTACTTCAATCAGTCAATCAATAGCAGGTTATTCTTTCACACAGTAAAGCAGGTGAATTATTAACTTTCTTTTCTGTTTTTGTGCAGACATTACGTCGTTGGATGTCTCAAATCGACGAGACAAAAAGTGATTTTCTTCGTGTCAAGGTGACCTGGTTCGGTATTAACTGGTAATTGAGAGTGGTTGCGCCATTTTCTGTAAAGCGATCTGTGCGCTACGGCGGTGGTAGCACAATCGATTTGTGCAGGTGGGCCTAGGGTGCCGTTGTACAAAGCCATCTTAACGCTAAGGTGAACATAAAGCCCATACCTTAACATAGACTTAGGACAGTCGTAGCGCTAAGGTTATTTTGTACAACGACACCCTTGTGATTACGGCTGTTATTACTTCCACTGCTACCACTGCCACTACCACCACTATTTATTCTGTCCTGCCCAGTAAACTGTACAATGAAGTCATCATCTAACGTTGCGCCAACAGGACATCATCACATACAAAGATCTCAAATGCTAGGTTCGGATCTCAAGGGACAAGACACCTCGTGTCGTCACTGATTTTCAGTGATCCATTTATATAATTGTCACCGTTATTTTGCCCTGTGCGCGCAATGGAATCTGTTTCAGAGGCCGGTTGTTTTTCTGGCATTGATGCCTTGTATTGTGTAAAGTGATCCCTACTTTGGATGTTTCACAATAGATGATTCATCATTAAAACATCTCTGAGGTTTAATATTGTCGTGTGGATATCCACTTCCACAGGAACGTTTGTCATTGCTGCGGCAATCCCGAAATTGATACCGAGAAAGAAAAACACTAAATACGTTTCACCACGACACAATGGGTAAGACGAGAGGTAATCTGTCAAACTGACAAATGCTCTTCTCTAGATATCTCAACAGGAACTCAATCTGCCCACCATAGCTTCCTTTCTCTTTAACAAGCAGAATTATTCGCGCACTTCGAAAATATATTAAAAATAATTATATAATCGTTAGTCAACGTCCTTGACATGATATCTTATTTTGCTCACTTTATAAAATGCGTTTAGAATATAAATAAATACATACAAGCCGTGTTTAGATCTAAACATTAACATAAACATTAAAAAAGTGTTTACATCCGGAATACACATTTGGTTTGTTCTATCTAAACACATGAAATGAGCTATCGTCTCTCAGCCTGAACACCACCTGAACGAAATATCTCATTAATCTAAACGTGTTTAGAACTTAAATAGACTCCCATTGTTTAAGAATGTGCATATCATTTGACATTAAGTCAAATATAGATAAGATGTATGATATATATTGATATTAGACGTGCAAATCGGATTCACAGGCGCTTAACACAAACACCACAAAATCGTACAGCAAACTCGGTACACAATTACAATAATGATGTACATATGAACCAAGATTGGGTAATGGTGGCTAGAAAAATTGACATTCGCGAGGTCAACAATCTCCGTGACACAGATGGTAGCGTGAAGGGCTACAAGTCAAGAGGTTGTAGGTTCGTATCCCCGCCGAGGTTTTAAAAGTGTTGTGTCTATAAACGTGTTGTAGATGTAGGAATGATAGTATTTCTATCATACAAGAAACGGAAGCTGACAATGAAAACATTTCTGATTACTACTGTCGACCCCATACTTCTATATCCCAATTAAACGCTAAAAATAAAGTCATTTAGAAAGTGGCTCATTTTAAATTACCTGCAATGAATTTCAATAGGGGAATACGGGCCTTTCTCACATTTAGACCCTAAACACGTTCAGCTGTTAAACACAATCTATACAGTTTAGACCCTAAGCGCGTTAAAAGCATGGGACAGGAAGCAGGAGGTTTGTGTTAAGACTCTTAATATATTTTTTACAGTGTTTATTTCATTTTTCAGGTAGCCATGCTATCATTCTCTACGAAACTTTTCAAAACGTTTTCTTGTAGATATATTCAGGAAATTTCCAAATTTGACGTATCAGTGACAAAAATGATGCCCGATGCAATTCCCGATTTTGATTTGTACCATAGGTTTCCATGTCGTTGTTTTCGGGTGAACAATTGACTTGCCTTTGCACGTGTTTGTGACGGGGAAGATACGCTCACCTTTTCGGGAACACCTTGTATCATCACTATTTGATGTTAATTCATCAGCACGTGCTTATGGAGTAGTCGGGATCGTAGAGTGGGCGTTGCTTTAAGAGGTTTCTCAAGCTTATTGAAATATGTATCATAGAGTCACAGTTTCATTTTGCATTTATGTGTACCAACGTCATCACCTTCCAATAGAGCTAGCTATATCCCTCATTTTACAAATTAATGTTCATTGTCTGATAGCATCTCTTTTCTATGTAACATCATTAAATTTTAGGGGGCACAGGTGGCCCAGTCGTCTAAGGCGCCGCGATTCGCTGTGCAGAGTTGCGTCCCCTGGACACGCCAGAAACCTATGATTGTGGGTTCGAATCCCGGTTCGCCCCGTTTATGTTCCTAGGTTTGTCAGCACAATAGCCGTGCTCGTGGGTTTCACCGAAGTGGTAAACGTCTGAGACCTACATCACTTCGGGCTTTCCTCCACATTAAGCTGAACGCCGTGATATAACTGTAATAATGCTAAAAGCGGCGTTAAACCCAACTCACTCACTCACTCATTAAGTTTTACATTTACAGCAGATGCATGGTTATTTCAGTACGTATATAAATATCAGATTCTTCGGCACCGCTATTTCCGTATTGTTCATTTTCTGTAACATCCCAAATTATCCAGTGTATCATACCTCCATTTTATCATGATTCTTCCATTCGCCACCCTAGGTTCGTTTTAGACACTAAAAATAGCCGTCAAATCGAACACTATTACTCTTCTGAGAAAGTGAAATCATTCGCACAATCAGAGATGAGAGAGATTGGGATGTGACATCACTTCCAAACATCGCTGTGGTGGGTGTGAGGTGAGGTGAAATGGGGTTTAACGTCGCGTCCAAGATGACGGCACGTATATAGCGACGTGCATGCACGTGTATGTGTGTGTCTGTCTGGCTGCTTGTACTAGTCCGGACTGATGCCGACTTATAGTGCTAGTCCACCGAGATGCTATGCCGCAGTTTAACATGAATACCCCACTCAGACACTGTATACTGACCCCGAGCCGACCAGTCCTTGTCGTAGCCCCTTAATGCCGAGCGCCAGACAGGGTAACAACAAGTACTATATTTAAACGTCTTTGGGTATGACGCATGAAACAATAAAAACACCACGTGTAATGAGAGCAGTTTAGTGAGTATGGGTTTACGCCGCAAGATTTGTAGGCAAAATACTGATTGCAACCACCACTTAGATAACAGGGACGCATTTAAAGAGAAACATTTGACAGATATACCTACATATTGAACGACGCAATGAAAACTATAGTGACATGCCAATGTAATTTGTAATATTACCGTGAAACATAGGTACACAGTGAGATTCACATGAGAGAAAGGCAGAGACAGTAAGATGCAACTTACGAAGCATGTGAGATACATTTTCAGCAAACGAGACACACTGAGATACAGTGTGAGGCTATGAGAGAGACACTATGAGACAGAAAGAGATAATGAGATACTAGTTCTCCTTCAAACGAGTCAGAGATACGGACGGAGCTCAAGCACAGATATATAGAGTTTAGAGTAACGGGTTTCGACAATGCATCCATGGGGACATCGACATCAATTGGTACCTACAATTTAAAATGATGTTCACTGGTTGCACGATCCGCTGTTCATTACTGTTTATTGATACTACCACTTCAATATTATAATGCTTCAACGTTCAGACGTGATCAATCACATTTCCGATAACAGTGTGTGCATTCCACACGTCCTTTGTAAATAGCTACAAAGGAATATTAATGAACAACTCATTATAACAATATCATACAAATATAATACGATATTATTACTTGACACTTGACATTTTGCACACACATAAAATGGTTATGGTAATATTATATTTGAAATGTCCACATACGTAAACAGCGCACTGGAACATCTATAAACTGTCCGAACATTCTGTTCGGAGCTGTATAATTTCATTTCACGTCACAGGGAGGTTAATGAACAGGTAGTGGATGCGTACGTAGTCATCCCCTTGAATCATAGACGAAACAAAGTTTGCAATTCTGGAAACAATATTTAACTTAATATAAATACTTCTGACTAACTAATTTGACAATTAACTTAAATACTTACCCAAAATGTCTGCAATGGCGAGGTTGACCAGAAAATAGTTGGCAGCGCTGGACCTCATTCTTGAGTTTAAAAGAATTACCAGCATCACAAAAATATTCCCCACAATCGCCAGTAAGAACACAGGAACATAAACACATATCAAGACGATAGTCTCAGTTGAGCTCGTTGATAGAAAATCTAAGTTTGTGTTGATACTATTGGGATCGAAAGTAAAATTGGATGAGTTCGAGGCATTCATTTTTGCAGTTGTCTGTCACATCAAGTTTAAGTTAGACGAATAATCTGTCTTAGCAAGAAATAGTGTGTCTCTGTTAACGCTACTTCCAGATCAGATACTCTTAGTTTCATTACTAATCACTCCGAAAGTAGCCAGCACTTTAGGGGAAGCGCAAATGATTCTGCCTAATGCCTCTCATGTTTTGATTTCGGCCCATATGCTGACCAAAGTAGATGAGGACGTTACAGTTCTAATCCCTCACAGCTTCTTCTTCAAAGTTTGTACATCAGGACAAATAAGCTTTTGGGGTCACTTTCCGCAATATCACTCAAGCGTACAGATACGATGACCAAATTATGCCAGGTCAATTACACACATATTTGTATGACACAGTTCTGATAACACCACCACTGACACGAATTGAATATACCGTGATTAAACTTCACGGTTCTCTTCACAAAATATCCATGTAACTCGTCCCAGGGAACCACAACGATGTCTTCAACAAGAGGACTACCTGTGGCACTGTCGGAGAAACCCGCAGCACGTGTGCGCTCTCGTCGTCTGCTCAAAAGCTACTGGTATGTATTCACACCGACAGATCCAATAATTGCTCTGATAATGCTCTTGTCGATCGTTTTACTCATAGTATTGAGCCAGTAAACGTATTCGGCCAAACGTCACATCGACGCGTGGTACATGCATCAGCGGAAAATCCTCGGCTGCGATCGTCACTTTCCCGCGCGAATCGATCGGAGCAGACGACAAGGGTTTTCCGATTTCAAACTTCAGGCTAGGTTTTGGGACAGCTCCAGTAGATGAAATAGTACCTCCCGAAAGACACGGGCTTCGGGCGCTAGTGGTTTAGGTGGTAGAGGTAATGGCTTACAGTTAGCCAAGTCCGAGTGCGTCAGGTGAAGATAGGGGCAGCTCGTCCGGGTGTTAGCTGCCAGCCTCTGACCGAAGAATTATATCGGACAAGATAGTTGCTTTGGGTTGCTGCATGTAATTTTCGTGTATCGTATCCGTTGTTATAGATACAAAAGCCTTGTAATACTCTGTCTTATTATATTACCCACGGGGCTTATGGTGTCAGTCCCTGTGCACATTTAGGACGAAAGGTCTAAGAAATAGGATTTTGAATTGGATGATAATAAGTTCCTCATTTCATCATTTCTTTCCAACCGAATATAGACGACGCCATGGGTAATATGAAAGACCCACTCTTCCATTTAAATGAACATTATTACAGGTCCGCACATAATTAAAGTATAATTGATGGGTGAAGTATATCCATGTGCGCAAAGCCTTCCTTTATGACATGATCCCTTTGGCAGAGCACATTCCCAGTAGACCATGGTGTTCGTTAGAGCCGCCTAAAGGGGAGATTGTGGTGGTTAAATGTGGGCAGTTGGTTGATTGTGTGTCATCGTTCACCGAGGTCGTGGGGCGGTCGGGTAGCCTAGTGGTTAAAGCGTTCGCTCGTCACGCCAAACACCCGGGCTCGATTCCAGACATGGGTGCAATGTGTGAAGCCCATTTCTGGTGTCCCCCGCTGGAATATTGCTAACAGCGGCGTAAAACCATACTCACTCACTCACCGAGGTCGTGGATCTCGACTCCTGCTGTCAAGCGGTGTACTTGGCTCAGACTCGGTTCTTAATTAACATACTGCTGTGATTTAGTTGGAAATTTGCTGACTACACAAAACATTAACTTTGTGTCCTCCACACTGCATTCATACACATGGCTCCACCTGGGTGTGCAGTGTCTAGTAGAGTAAAAAGACTATATGAATAGTACTTCTTAAAAGTATCAGTAGTAAAATACCACATTTTCTGAGTTACTGACATTGGCACGCATTTATTCAGTGAGTGAGTAAGTGAGTATGGTGTTTTGCCGCTTATGCAATATTAGAAATGTGCATCACGCATTGTACCCATGTGGGGAATAGAACCCGGGTCTTCGGCGTGACGAGTGAACACTTTAACCAATTGGCTACCCCACCACCACCCATTTATTCAGTCTAATTGGCAACTCCAACAGAGCTGATATTGTATTCACGTTTGTAGACGCCTATTGGAAGACAAAACAGATAAGTAATATTATCAGTGATAGCATTTATTATATTTAAAAGCCGTCATTAAAATTCGAGTTGTCAAAGCCTAAGTCAATTATACGGACCCCTGGTCGCGTAATAAACTTCGTTACGATGATTCAACCAGTGGCCAGTCTTAACCAGTCTTGCCAAACTAGATTTAATTAACTAGAGAGTTATGAAGCCGGCTAGACATCTGACGAACCACAATGATTGTGGTGCCCCCAACCGTCCATAATTCCATACTGTTCAACAACATCTAGACGCTCTGACCTGCGTGACATACAGCCACGCTCCGATAAGTGTTGATCACATGTTGATTACATGCAATGTGAAATGTACACCGAAACGTTATTAGGACTAACAGCATAGCTTTTATTTCATGACCAATTCTTCTTCTCGATGATGATCAGGTTGTTTGCAAAAGCAGGACACACACACACACACACACACACACACACACACACACACACACACACACACACACACACTCTCTCTCTCTCTCTCTCTCTCTCTCTCACACACAAACACACTCACACACAAACACACACACACTCTCTCTCTCTCTCACACAAACACACTCACACACAAACACACACATACAGATAGACACACAAACACACACACAGACAGACACACAAACACACAAACACAAACATACAGATAGACACACAAACACACTCACAGAGAGACAAACACACACACACAGACACACACACACAGACAGAAATACAGACACACACACACACACACACACACACAACGCCCACATCACTCCGTCCCCCCAAAACAAAACAAGAGAAAATTGTAACAAACCACAAAACAACAGGAAACTCAAAAAGGATTAACAGCAACAACACACGCCATGAATTCTCCACATTTAGGTAACCGTCTTTTATATTTTGGATCCAACTTTCACCAAAAACATTAAGCCGTATTTCACTAATAAAATCCATTGTTTACCTATTTCTATTCTAATCAAGAGATATCGGGCCCCGTCTGGAGAATAATATTACTCATCGTCAGAGATATATAATAACGAACACTAATACGCTATAAATGCCAAGTGTTCGTATTCACAGCACAATCTTAGCTGACATACGCAACTTCGTCTGATCGGTAAGCTTGATGAAGAACAGTTTGCTATGTCTGTGTCAGCAGAACACCTCAAAGTCAGTAAAGGTCAGCCCTTTCACCTGCACGTCGATAGCAGTCGACACGGATAACCAAGTTTCTGGTAAATATGAACGCTCAGGATCTCATCCATGGCGTCATTATGGGTCAATGATACTCGAAGCAAATTTGAGTGTTGTTTGTTGTTTAACGCTGCACTCAAAACTATTCCAGCGATATAGACGGTGGTCTGTAAATAATCGAGTCTGGACCTGATCAACCAGGGAAACCATGCAGATCGATCTTTGCAATTGGGATATGATGAATTGCATCAACCAAGTCAGCGAGCCTGACCACCCGATCTCCTTAGTCGCCTCTTACGAGATGCATGGGTTGCTGGAGACCAATTCTAACCCGGATTCGGTAACCCAAAGAAAACGTAACTCTTATGATATAAATGAAATATATACTTGTATATTAATCATGGTTATGAGTAACTTACAGACAGAATAACATTCTAATTGAGCGTTAGAAATTGGCACTAGTCCTATAGTCCTTGCCAAACTGCCCAATAGTTAAGGTATCATAAGGACTAGTAGAAATGTGCCCCTTTTAAGGGTTTTGCTATATGTTGTCATTATAAGGACTTGTGGACTCAAACTGTTAGTTTCTATCGCTGTAATTGTGAACACGACAGATCTCTTCCTAAAACGGGCTCCGGTAGTTGGATGTGTACTGTTTTCAATAAGAGGGTCATGCCTCAATATATCTTTTCAACAGTAAAATTAAAATTTTCAGGGAAAACGATAAGAGTCTGCGTTAATCGCTTCATTAAGTCGTCCGGTTCCAACAGACTTTAATGTAGGCAGGTTTTTTAAACTTCCAGCCTTTGGTGTTTACATTTCCCCACTTTTGAGGTACGATCGAGACTGATCTTTCTACGAAGATTTCAAACAGCGTCATACCACTATTGCTCAGAAGCTGTTCGATAAAGGTTACAACAATCAAGGTCTCATAATGCTTCCAAAACGCTTTATAGTGGACATGTGGAGAACATTTCCAGATTTGACGCATCAGTGGCAAGAATGATGTCCGAAGTAGTCCCATATTTCGACTTGTACCATATGTTCCCGTGTATTTTCAGGTGAATTATTGACTTGCCTTTGCATGTGTTTGTGACGGGTGCCACCGGTGGGGCAGGATACACCTGCTATCATTACTATTTGATAGTGATTAAATAACACGTGCTCATGATATAGTCGGAATCGAACACTCGACTCTGCTTTTAGCAGTGATTTCTTATGAATATGGAAAGGGCTTTGTCGCTTTTATTTACATCACAGAACAGAATGATCAATAGGGATGCTCTTTAATTGATTTGTTTAGATGGAATTTAACGCATTACAAAGCACATAGATATATTCTATGTGGCATGAACAAGTTTGTAAATCAAATATGAAGCCGAAGAATGATTTCCCTGTGGAAATTACATGTCTGATTCAATTGTATTTTAAAACGTGATTTGTATTTGATCAGTGCATTTCTATGGAAGCTTATCGAAGAAACACGACACCCAAACTTTCTTATCATCTCTTTTGATGAATATCAACTTTGCTACACTCATGGCATT